GAGGAACCTTCCTAGCAGAGGGGAAGGAAAGGTCACGTGCATTGGCAATCTGTTGCCGTGGCCTAACTCTCCCTGACTTCATGCTAGAGAAGATCCTCATGTATTTCTCAGATGGCTTCCTGCAAAGGAGTGTACAGCAGCTAGGTGCAGTGGCACACACCTGTAATCCCAGCGGTTTGGGAGGCTGAGGCAGGAGAATTGCGAGTTCAAAGCCAGCCGTAGCAGCTTATCGAGGCACTTAGCAACTCAGTTGAGATCTGTCTCTAAATAAAATACAAAAAAGGGTTGGGGGAAAAAGTGGGGGCAGGTGAGGGGGGAGATATGGCTCAGTGGTTAAGTGCCACAGGTTCAGTCCCCAGAACCAAAAAAAAAAAAAAAGACTATACAGCAATGCAGTAAAGTTTATATCTTTTCCAAAATTTTTTAAAATGTATAACACGAAAGATATTGGATTATAAAAGAAATCAATTATAATAAAACAATTATAAAATATTTTAAAATTTGATTTAGTAATATGTGCTTCTTAAATAAGACCTGGCTGTCGTTATAATAGCTGTTGCAATTTCAAAGTCATGGTGAACACAAACAGTATCTTAAGCCATGGGCATCAACTTGATATAATATGAAAATAGATGTAATTTCTTTTGGTAGCAGGGTTTACAGATGCTGCTAATACTACCATAACATGTTGCCCATACATGGCTGTATTTTGGTTAGAGATTTATGAAATAAAGGTATTATTCCCCACCCCCCAACCAAGTTCATACTCTTTATTTTTCTGTCTGGGTTTGATCATCAGCACTTCCAAGGGCAACAGAACTCTGGTCAGTTGAGTACAGAACAGATCAGACTCAAGCTCTGACACGTATCTGGCAAGGCATAAATAACCATTATTTCATCAAGTAGCAATTGCTGCTCTACACAAAAAAATGTGATGATATGGTGCAATGGGTTATAACTGTGGAAAATCATTTTGATGGAGTGAACCCCAGAGCTGCAGCAGCTGTAGGCACCACCAAAAGGCAGAGCATGCTAGAAAATCAACATCGACATCTTGGCTGTGAGTCTAAACGCAAGCAAAGGACAGTTCCCTTTATTAAAGATTTATATTAGGGCTGGGATGTAGCTCAGTGGCAAAGCGTCTGCCTTGCATTCGCAAAGCCCTGGGTTCGACCCCCAGTTCCAAAAAAGACAAAAAAAAGAACCCCACCAAAAAAAAATAAGATTAAAGATTTATATTAAACAAAGTTTTCTCCTATCTGGTAGATAATATCTCTCAGTACTTTGACTAAAAGTGGATTCCGTTCACTTAGCTTATCATCCCTGTATTTTATGATAAACATTTTCAGCAATCTTACCTGTGATTGCTTACTATTTTATGCATTTTTAAAAGTCAGTTTACCTCTGTTTTCTTGTCTTTGTATCTAAAAGAATTACTCGGTGTTGAAGTTGTCATATACTTTGTCAGTAACGATATTAAGACTAAGGGATTCGCAATTGTTATCAGGAAAAATAGGTATTATCATAAGATGCACTGAATCATTTTTTCCATATTCTTATTGGTACATTATAATTACACATAATAGTGGATTCATTGTTACATATACGTACATGCACACAGTATAACAATATGATTTATCCAATATCATTCCCCAGCGTTTCCCGTTTTCCTCTCTTCCTCCCTCCCCCTGGCTCCTTTCCTCTACTCTTCTGATCTTCCTTCAATTTTGATGAGATCCCTCCCCCGCCTTTCTTTTCCTTTTTCCTCTCTGGCTTTCACATATAAGAAAAACCATGACCCTTCACTTTCCGAGTTTGGCTTATTTCACATAATGTTCTTAAGTTCCATCCATTTTCCTTCAAATGACATAATTTCATTCTTTATGACTGAATACAACCCTATTGTTACATATGTCACATTTTCTTTACCCATTCATCCATCGATGGACACCTAGGCTTTATAGTTTGGCTATGGTGAATCGTGCTGTTATAAACGTGATAGGCATGCATTGCTATAGTATATTGACTTTATTCTTTAGGATATATACCGAAGAGTGATATAGCTGGGTCATTTAAGACCCACTGAATTCTTAATTTTCTCAGTGGTGGGCTTTCTTTTAAATATCAGCTTAGGTACAGAGGCATTGACTAAGAGACAAAGAATTCTGTGGTAGGTTTAGTGAAGTAAATAATCTCTAGAAATAAGAAATGTGGGCAGTGTGTTGCAGTTTTTGAAGTGAATAGGCAAGTTTCATGAGTATTTTATGGAGTTTAGTTGGCTCATTCTTTCATTCATTTGATTATATATTGAGGACACCATCCAAGACTGCCACTAGCATTGAGCCAAATGACCTCCATGCTTGCGTCTCTTCTCCATTTTTTTCTTTCCTTCTTCTGGTTCTTCTGTGTATCAGTTGCTGCCACTTCCCCTTCTTATGCTGCTTAACAACATTCCTCCCCATCTTGAGCCCCTTTGAACTTCTTTACCCTCTTTTTTACTTCTTTCTATCTCATCAGGAAGAATACCTCATGTATCCCCCTTTGTAGTCCAGAGTTTCCTGTCTTCTAATGGGAAAAAAGGTTTGTGCAACTTTTCCCTAAACTCATTTCTCCTGATTTTAAAAACAACAATAACAAATTTAATGAGAAAAATGCAGACATGTTTTTCTTCAGACTGGTCAATGTTTCTTTTACCCAGGTGAATCCAGAGTAGAACACGTCTTCACCTAGGCACATAATTGCAAAGATTGGCCGACACGTAACTAAGATTGCCAGTGATATTAAGTGAAGTGACTCTTGTTTAATTTTTCTCAGCTTTTCAGCGTATAATCAAAACTGTTGAGAAAGTTCATTATTACATTTGACAGAGGCATCAGGACACAGTAACAGGGAGGTGCACTGATGGCAAGCAGTGGTAGCTGAAGGTTGATACTATTACTACTGCTATCACCACCACCACTGTCTTCTAAGTTGTAGTAGAAACAGTCATTTATGTTTACTGAGCGCTTTCTGTATGATAGATACTTAGGCTAAAACCTCTCTGTGGATTGTTTCACTCAGCCACTCAAAACTCCAATGGATTATCTTCATTTTTCCAGTCCAAAGGAAACAGATTCTGAGAAGTTTTAACTAAGAAGTTAAAAATCATTTGCCACATGAAATGGACCAAATCATGTTATATACATATACAAATATATCACAGTGAATCCCACTATTTTTTTTATAGTTTAATGTATTTTAAAAGCAAACTTACAGGAACAGCAGAGAAGACTTAACAACATTAAAAATATATACTTACATATTGGACAACTCAGAAAAGTATAGTGAGTGGATGGAATCTACTGTAAATAAAAATGCTACAAATACCATTTAGTTGCTGTCAATAAGAAATTTACCTGTTTAAAAAAAAAAATCCAAATGCTGGCATTGTCCAGAAAAATTTAACAGTTTTATGTATAATTGTTATAAAGTTGAGCTGCTGAAACTGGTTCACTGAAACATTTTGACTTGCATTAATGCTTTACATTCCCACATTTATATTAAAAATTCACACACCAATGAAAATGGAAAAACAGCCAATACCTGATTTCTGTCCCCTATTTTTCCACTTGCAAATCATATACTTAGGTACCTTTTGACCCCGTGGGAAAAAATCTAATGTTCAGAACTACCAATGACAGGAATAAGAGAAAAAAATTTTTTTGAGATTGAAATGTTTCCCATTATAATGAATTCTTTTTTTTTTAAAATTTTTTAATATTTATTTTTTAGTTATCGGCGGATACAACATCTTCGTTTTGTATGTGGTGCTGAGGATCGAACCCGGGCCGCACGCATGCCAGGCGAGCGCGCTACCGCTTGAGCCACATCCCCAGCCCTATAATGAATTCTTAAGCACTTTCTCCAACTGTGGCATTCTAGTTAGATGTCTTTTGGCATAATTGTTACACGTTTTGCATGGATAGCACACAGGTTGGTGTCTTCAAAAAGGCCAACCAGATAGGCCTCACTTGCCTCCTACAAAGCACCAATAGCTACACTCTGGAAGCGCAGATCTGTTTTAAAGTCCTGAGCAATTTCTCACACCAGATGCTGGAAGGGGAGTTTGCAAATCAGAACTTCTGATAACGTCTAATTTCATGGAGTGCCACAGTACCAGGCCTATAACGATGAAGTTTCTTCACCCCTCCAGTAGAGGATGCACTCTTGTGAGCACCTTTTGTAGCTTGTTGTTTCTTGGGTGCTACACTGGCTGTTTTGCAGGCAGTCTGCTTTGTAGGAGCCATGGTAGAGAGACCTCCCTACTTACCCCCTTTCTCCTTCAGGTAGAGGTCGGCACGCTAGAGGCGGCAGTGGCGTTAGAGAGCAATGGGCGGCTACAAACACAATCTGAATTCCACTATTTTGTATAATTATAATGAACCAGTAGAAGAAAATCCCTTGCCCATCTAGATTGCTATTAAATATCAGATGCTAGGAGTTGAGACTAGTTCTTTAACATTCCAGAGCCTATATCCTTAACCTTTATGCTGCATAGTCTCTTACTAGGGAGACTCTGAGAAAACAAAACTAGACACTGAAGCACAGCTGCTTGGGCCAGCTGCAGGGCAGGCAGTGCCACTCCTCCAGTTGCTCCTGTGCCCCACGAGAGAATGCTCTTGACAGTGGTCAGTGGTAGACATTAGCAGCGCTGTGTCCCAGTTTCCCTATCCAAAAAGTCAGTGAACTGAGAAATACATTTTGACAGTGAGTTCCACCTAGAAAGCTCTGTTTCCTTGATTGGAAAAAGTTACTTGGCCATCAGTTTCTGGGAAAAGAAGATATAATGTTAAACTAATTTGTGTTTGTTCAAAAGACAATGAATTTTAAAATCTACTAAGTCAAGCTCTCATTTTGGTGAGGTGAAATATAAGAATGGGTTATGAAATTATCCCCAAAGCAACAGATGTTCAATCACTTTTTTACTTTCATGTGTGTGTATGTGTTCCCTCTTTCATCAGGGGCTGTTCCTAAAGCTAAGAAGAAACTTCCCAACATGCCTGTCGTCTTGGAAAATTCCTCCTCGTGTCCTAAAATCTTCCCAGTCAGAAGCTGTCCTTGATGTCAGAAATAATGCACTACCCTTTGTGCCACTGCAAACATTTACAGACGAGGAAATGATGATAAAGAGTGCAGGTGAGTGCATTTCTCACTTTACCTTGTTACTCCTCTGGTCATGAGTGGGGTCTGCAATATGAAATTACATATGACAGATGAAAGGTGAATTCATTAAGTTTGTGAATGGAGTTTTCTGACTTTAAAAAAAAAAAAACAAAACAGTGATATATATCTAAAAGTTAAAAACAACAATAGACTAAAATGCTTTCTGGTTGAAGGGCCCCCAACCTCTGGTCTCTGCTTCCCCAGTTCTTGCCAGAAGCTGCTTTGTTAAAAAGTTTCTTAGAGGGCTGGAGATGTGGCTCAAGAGGTAGTGCGCTCGCCTGGCATGCATGCGGCCCGGGTTCGATCCTCAGCACCACATACAAACAAAGATGTTGTGTCAGCCGAAAACTAAAAAATAAAAAGTTTCTTAGAGAGCCTTGGAATGGGCACCTACTGTGGGCAGCTAGTTGTATAAAGGCCAGGGATGCTGCTAAACATCCTGTAGTACACAGGACGACTCCACAACAAAGACTCACCTGCCTCAAAGTGTCCATAGTGCTGAGGTGGAGAAACCTCATTCTGTGTGGCCATGCAGCTATTCAAAGGCCCATGTTAGATGGAGTGTGCTGGCATGGAAAAATCTAGACATGCGTGGGGAGAAGGTTGAATGTGTTTCATATGATTCCTTTGTGTAGAGATATAAGTTGACAGATAAATGGATAATTCATGTGTCTGTGTAGACACAGATGATTTTCAAAGAAAAGTTTTCAGAAAAAATACATAATAAACATAAAAATAGTAACCTTTGGGGAGAGGGGTGGGTAGCCAGAACAGGGAATAAGGCTTTCATTTTTCATTTTATGCTTTCTATATTGTTTATATTTTTATATATGTTACTTACTTTTAATGGCATCAAGGATTACAAAGGGAGTTGGAGAATTATACTTTTCTATATTAAAGAAACTTTATAATTTCTGTTTTAAAAGAATAAGTGCACTCACATGCATTTAACTTAAATTAAAAATTAAAGTTTGTCAGCAAACTATCAATGATGATTATAGTTATTATTAAAATGACTACCACTTGAACGTAGACTTAATAGTGATTCTTTTTTCTGCAGTTAAAAAATTCGCACAGGAAGAGATTGCTCCTTTGGTTTCAACCATGGATGAAAATTCAAAAATGGAAAAATCAGTAATCCAAGGCTTATTCCAACAAGGGGTATATATTTTATAATTCTTCCAATTTCAAGCTTCTGTAGATACTTTCCAGTGTTAACACTCATGTGTTCTTTTAATTTAGGGACTGTAATGAGCATAATGAACCCTTTGTTTCCTAGCTAAAAAATGTCTGTGCTCTCTGTTCATTGGAGGTCTTCATTAATATTTATATACTTAAAATTTTTAGTAGTTGAATTAACATTATAAATGGAAATATTGTGTTTTTTAAGAAAAAAGTTGGCAGTGAGAGAGTGATTTCTTTAGGCCTTCCAGGGGGCATGTTGCAGGCATCCAATGGAGTAGGAATAATGTACTGCCCTTTGCACCACTGCAGCTCTTTCAAATGAGGAAATGATGATGGAGAGAGCAGATCATCAAGTTTTTCGGACTCCAAAGCCTATTTCCTTAACCCTATGTCACAGCATCAAGGGATACTGCTCAGCATCCTGCAATGCACAGGACAACTGCCACAGCAACAATAAGATGCCATAGTGTAGGGTTCATTCTACCTGAGTCTCCTACGTGTGTGCTCAGCTTAGACACGGGTGACATCTGAATTCCATGTTAACCAGGGTAACAGATTTCTAACTTTTTAAGTCACTAGACCTTTAGTGAAACAGACAAAAAAGATTAAAATAGAACTACTTTGATTATGGCTAGAAGAGGTTATGAGGGACTCCAAGGAGGACATGGGGACTCCAAGGAGGACATTTAAAAATCACCACACTCACTCCTGATTTCTCCCTTCTCCATAGATGCAAAGTGATTTTTTTTTTTTTTTTTACTAAGGATGGAACAGAATTAGTCACTGCTATTTCATTGTCCTAAATTTCATCTGTCATCCTGTTTGAAAAATAACCTTGCCACTTAGCCATATAATTTCATTTCTTCCTATTTTAAAGTGACCAGCTTTTAGTGTTTTTTCCAACTTTGTGTTAGCAAAGAAACTCTTGGGAACATGGAACCTTATGTGGAGCCACACCAGGTCAATCAGAAGTCCAGAACATAAGACAGACAGACTGAATGAGTCCGTCACTAGCTAGCTTTCACTGTCGTGGTTTATGACCCTGTAGGCTTCTCTGAGGCCTCTCCTGAGGTGGTAGACCTCAGAGGCCTCATGCTCCTAGTACCCAGCTCCATAAATTGCTTCTGCTTAGAGTAGTTCCACTTACCTAACACCTGTTGTCTCAGCTCTTTAGTCACCTGACACCTATTTTCCAGTTGAGAAGTTCATGACTTTTTATAGAGAAGCAGTATCTCCAATGGCTGCTCCAAAAATTATAGTCAGGTAGCTGTCAGGCCTACTAGTCTCCAGGCATGCCCAAATCCTCAGGTTTTCCTCAGAGAGCATCATTTCTGGTTCTCTCACATTTTAATCATCCCCTTTGTGTTTCTGCCTTCATAGCGGCAAAATCTTTCTTCATCCTGAAACATGACAGCCATAACCCTGACCATACATAACATGGAGTGATTCCCAGAGAGTATAGTGAGAATTGGAGCATTATCATTTATCCATTACCAGCTGTAGGTCTTGATTCACATGTTCCTATCTGAAATAAAGTCTCTTAAAAATGGAATGTTGGGGCTGGGCTTGTGGCTCAGCAGTAGAGTACTTGCCTAGCATGTGCAAGACACTGGGTTAAATCCTCAGCACTACATAAAAATAAATAAATAAAGGTTATGTCCAACTACAACTAAAAATATATATATATAATTTTTTTAATATTTATTTTTTAGTTTTAGGTTGACACAATCTTTATTTTATATCTATGTGGTGCTGAGGATCGAACCCAGTGCCTCACGTGTACTAAGCGAGCACTCTACCACTAAGTCACAACCCCAGCTCCCTAAAATATATATTTTTTAAAAAAGTTAAAAATAAAAATGGAATGAGTGTTACTGAGGAAGATTCATATGTCAGACTTAGGAGTAGTGACTGATCAGTTGGCCTGTATCAAGGTTATTAGAAGTCTGTGGCCAACATTTTGTTGTGTTTATCAGGCACCTGTGCCTGGTCAAATGTGACTCTAGCAAATAGTGCCAAGTATTATCTGCTAGCCATCCTAGACTTGCTAAAATTGCAAGTGGATTGGTCAATCAACCCTTATCTCAGCTGAAAATATCAAGAAACCTGTCTAGAAGAGATTATGCTAAATGAAATTGTAAATGTTTCCCCTTGAGGGCTAGTCGTTTTCTTGTATTTACTTATTATATTCAAAGTGGTATAAAGGGGATAGTGTTGAAAGACCAAAACAACTCCTATAGTTATTAGCAAGAAAGGACATCAGGTTATGTTTATATTTCGTAAGATATTTTCTTATTCCTTTCAGTTATTTAGATCTGAGGTGTTCCCCAAAAGCTCATCTTTGAGACAATGCAAGAATGTTCAGAGGTGAAATGGTTATTTTTATGAGAACTTTAACCAAATCAGTAGATTAATCCACTGATATGGATTAACTGGGCGATAACTGTAGGCAGATAGGGTGTGACTGGAGAAAGTAGGTCACTGGTGGTATGCCTTTAGGGTTTATATTTTGTCCCTAGTGAACAGAGCTCTCTTTCTCTGCTTTCTGACTGCCATGTCCTGAACTGCTTTTCTCTGTCATGCCCTTCTATCATGATATCTTTCTTCACCTTGGGCCCAGAGCTATGGAATTGGCTGACCATGGACTGGACCTCTAAAACTGTGAGCCAAAATAAATTTTTTCTCCTTTATGTTGTTCTGTTCAGGTCTTTGAGTCACAGTGACACAGAGAAAACTTAAACAGAATTTGATTCTGAGAAGTGGGGTCATTACTATGACTAGGCTGACCATGTGGCTCAGAAGCCTTTGGAGCTGGTTTATGAGGGGAGGAATTTTGAAAAGTTTAGAAATACAAACTGGAAAAGCTTTAGAATGTTGTGAGTGTAGTTTAATGGATGGCTGGTGGGAACTCAGCAGAACAGAATGCCAGTAGGACTGCAGACAGTAAAGACTGGGCTCATGAGGTTTCAGAGGAGAGGGAGGACTTTATTGGAAATTGGGCTAGAGGCTGTTCATGTTAGCATTCTGGCTAACAAGTTTTCTATGTTTGCCGGCATCCTGAGACTTTCTGTGAGGCTGAATTTAAAGATGATGGACTTATTAATCTGGCAGACAAAATTTCAGGATAGCACAGCATTCAAGGGGTGGTATAGATATTTCTGGATGCTTTTAACCAAGTTTAATCAGGAGCAGAAAGCAAAACAGAAAGATTTGGAAAAACTTGCAGTTTGGCTAGGAAAGTACCAGTAAAGCTAGGGCTGAGATATGATTATTAAAGACATTACAGCAGTATAAAGAGAAGCTAAATACTTTGCACAGAGACAATGGAAAAGATGGCTTGAGAGCTTCTCAGGAATTGGCAAGACCACAACCATATCAGGCTCAAGGGTGTAAAAGTTAAAATTCCATTGAGTCCCTGGGGGAACATTGCTTGCACATGGGGACCTAGGAAGTTAATTTACTCTTCTCAGCCATCCGGACTCAGAGGCTGCTACAGCCATGGTCCCAGGAACACTTGGCTACTACTCAAGGTGGTGGCAGACCTTGGTGCCAACCACATAGTGCCAATTCTGCAGGACTGCAGAATTAGAGTTCAGGTTATGGAGGCCCCCACCAGTATTTCAAAGGAAGGCCTCGGAGGCCAGGCAGAGTGTAGCAGAGTTGGAGTTCCTGTGAGGTGCACCAAGAGGATGATGCATGAAGATGTGAGAAGGAAGCCTAAGCTGCGGTGGAGACCCACAGATTGAGAGATGCTATTAATGTGGAACATCTGCGGAGGAAAGCTGCAGGAATCGAGCGGACATAAGCCAAGAGAAAGGTCATGTGAGCTGCAACCAACAAGGCCATGGGGTGAAGCTGCACAAAATTTGGAGAAAACTCACAAAGCCATGTGCCCCAGATGCTGGATGTGGAGCTACAAAACTTGTATGGCCAGCTGGATTTCAGTCTTCCTTCTTCCTATACTCTTGTTTCTCCCTTTTGGAATGGAAATGTTTATTCTGGGCCATTCATTATACATTGGATATATGTTACTTGCTTTTGATCTTGGCTCATAGCTAAGTTTGCCTTGAGTCTCAGACATTGACTTTGGGTAATGCTGTAACTTAAGACTATGGAGACACTTAGAAATAGACTAAATGTATTTTGCATTTTGAGATGGGCTTGAGTTTGGGGGGTCCAGGGTTGGAATGTTATGGTGTAGATATAAGGTGTCCCCCAAATGCAAGAATGCAAGGAATTTCAGGGGTGAAATGATTAGATTATGAGAGCTTTAACCTAATCAATGCATTATTCCACTGATATGAATTTACAAAGTGATAACTGAAGGCAGGTAGGACATGGCTGGAGGAATGAGTCCCTTAGAATTTATATTTGGGGTTTATATTTTGTCCCTAGTGCATAGAGCTCTCTCTGCTTTCTGACCACAATGTCCTGAACTGCTTTCCTCTGTCATGCCCTCTGTCACAATGTTCTTCTTCATCTTGGGCCCAGAGCTATGATGTCTGCCTACTAGGGACTGAATCTCTAAAACCATGAGCCAAAATAAATGTTTCCTCTTGAGATTTTCTTCTCAGGTCTTTTGGCCACAGCAATGCAAAACTGACTAAACACTCTTAAAAGCATTTTACCTCTTATTTTCATTTTTGGAGGCCCAAAAGAAAATAATAGGTCTAGAATACAATTTTATTCCTTTCCAAAATAAATTATTTCTGTTACAGTTTTTTTTTTTCATTTACTGATATCAAATTAGCCACAGTAGCCCACACCTATAATCCCAGTGACTTGGGAGGCTGAGACAGGAGGATGGCAGGTTTAAAGCCAGCCTCAGAAACATAGTGAAACCCTGCCTCAACGTAAAAATAATAAAAAGCAAATAAAAAGGACTGGGATGTTTCTCAGTAGAATGCCCTGGTTTTATTCCCCAGTACCAAAGATTAATTAATTTTTTATGAACTAAAAACATCTATGTTTACAGTGTATTTTTAACTTTTCTTGCAAGAAATTTTCAGGCATAAAAATAGACTGCTTAATCTGTTTTCTTGTTTTTCCTTTAGTTGATGGGTATTGAAGTTGATGCAAAGTATGGAGGAACAGGATTCTCATTTTTTTCCAGTATCCTAGTCATAGAGGAATTAGCCAAAGTTGATGCATCTGTTGCTCTCCTATGTGACATCCAGAACACAATAATTAACAAGCTGATTAAAAAACATGGAACAGAAGAACAAAAGACTACCCATCTTCCTAAACTGGTTACAGAAAAAGTGAGTTGAAAATGAGTTGTTGAAATGGTTTGGTCTTTTCTAAGTTTGCAATATTTTCAGGAGAAAAGTAGCTGCAGTGTTAACTTTTATTATCTAGGACACAATGCAGCACCATAAATTAATCAAGCCGTGCTCAGTAACTTACTGGGGGTGGGGGGGGGGGGAACTCTGCTTCTCATTTGCCACTTGGAAATTTATACAGTAAAATTATTTCTTTTTTGTCACAATTTTGTTTTCCAATTCTTTTGTTGATAGTTTCATTTGTGTTGAGTTGGCTTTCTCCTCTAATTATTAGAATTAATTTAGATAAACTTAAGCATGTATTCTCAAGTCTGCAAATTTGTCTTAGGCAAATAGTGTGGTAGTTTGAGGGAAATAATACTGTGAGAGTACTGTTTTGATAAATATAGACTTTTTAAAAAGTAGCTATGGGTTTTATTTACAAATGTCCATTTTGCTATAAGCATTTGTCATGCAGAACATAAATGCAATTGTTATTTGGACTTTTTTTTCCTCATGTGTGTAGATAGGAAGCTTCTGCCTTTCAGAGACTGGAGCAGGTAGTGACCCCTTTGCTTTGAAGACCAGAGCTGATAAAAGGGGAAATTACTATCTCATCAATGGGTCAAAGATGTGGATTAGCAATGCTGCACATGCAGGACTCTTCGTGGTTTTCGCAAATGTGGACCCTACCCGTGTAAGTTTGAAAACAAAATTTCTTTTCCTCCTCATCTTTTCTCTTTTTCTTTCCTCCTTCCATTTCCTTTGTAGGACTTAATCTTAAATTTATATTTTCCTTGGTACTGAAAATGTGAGATTGAACTGGCATCTTTTCACCTTATTTATTAATCTCTTAAAATATTTTGACATAATTATTAATTATATGAGACCATTTGTTATTTATCTCCTAATATGCTATAGAAGAAGCCAATCTTTAATTTTATATAATTTCAAATTTTAATAGTGAAGAATTTAAGTACCTATGTAGTACATTTATTTTTAAGAATGTTTTAGAGCTGGACACAATGACATGTAATCTCAGCTACTTGGGAGGCTTAGGTTGGGGGATCACAAGTTCAAGACCAGCTGGGCAACTTAGTGATACCCTGTCTCAAAATTTTAAAGAATTTTAAAAGACTGGGTATATAGAGTGTCCCTGGGTTCAATCCCCAGTACCACAAAAAAAAGTATATTTTTAATATTTCCACTAATATAACATTTAATTGAATTGAAAAACTTTAAGGTATTTAATAAAATTAAATTTAAAACATGGGATTCTCATAATCATACCTTATGACAAAAATAATTTTAATATCCATTATGGTTTCTGAAGAAGCAAAAGAAATGGCAAGGTTCCTGGTGTTGTATCTCACATCTTCCACTTATTTCATAATGCACACATTCAGAGTTCTTTCCTAAGTATTCTAAAGTCCATTTTTAGTTTTCTTTTTCCTTGGAACCCTTTATAAACAAGAGATTTTATAAATCCAAGTGGAAATAGAATTTTAAATCTTCTTTCTAGGGATATAGAGGAATCACCTGCTTCCTAGTAGATCGTGATACAGAAGGCCTTCATATAGGGAAAGCAGAAAATAAACTGGGTATCAGAGCTTCTTCCACCTGCCCAGTAACATTTGAAAATGTCAAGGTGGGTATTTAGAATAATCAGTAAAGTATTGTGAAAGGAGCTTCGGGTGGTACCATAGGGAGTGTGGGTGTGCAAGAGAGCTATCAAAATACTAAGTGGCAAACGGTACGCACAGGAGAGTGTTTTGTGGAATCCTAAAAGTGCTCTTAGGTTAAGTTATCACCAGAGTACTTTTCATAGTAGTTTAGACCAGAGTGGAAACCTTTCTGCCCAGTAACTGGCTCAGAATAAAATGCTGAGAATTAACCTGTTATGTTTTATAACTTGCATACTTCTGAATGACTACTACTTTATAAAGCTTGGTGTACTTGTGAAGGAAGTCTGGTGTCAGTGCACCATAGGCCACAAGATGGGGATGTTGCTCAGTGAGAATGAAGAGCAAGGAGGTAGCACCCCACAAAACAAGATAGCTGGAGTGCTGAGGCTGAGGCTCCAGAGCTTTTACACAGGCACGACAGGTTGTCATGGGTTTCCCATCACTCATAGTGGAGCTTGATCTTCATGCACCTGTGTGTCTGGGGTGGGGGTAGGAGATAACTTTATAGTTGTCATTTGGGTTTGGCTACTTCCCTCCCCTGACCTTCTGATTCTCCTTTTTCTTTCCCATTCTTTCCCATTCTGCCCTGCTCCCTCTCCTAATTGCCCATATTATAAAGCTAAGTATTTTTTATTGTTCCCAATCTGAATCTTTAATCTTATTTTCAAGTACATTTTAGTCTGTTTTCTCATTCCTCCTTTTTTCTCTCTTTTGCATGCACACAGGTATGTATAAACACACTACACACATGCCTCAGTTGACTTTTAAAAAAGGATGAATCATCTCAACAGAAGAAAACCTTATTATTTTACAAGTACTTCATGTTTTTTATAGTTCCTAATGATGTTATCTTACACTATTAATATACAGATAAGAATTGGAGGAAAATTGTTATTTATGCAATTGATGAATTGTTCAACATTCCCTTTTTCTAGAATCATTCATTCATTTATGGAGCAGACTGCTAGGCTCTGCACAATGCAATAGTGAATAACCGACTTGGGGAAGTAGTTGTAGAGACTTGGAGAAATCAGCAGATAATCTCATTAGATTTTAATAAGTACTGTGATCAGGTACTATCACACAAATTGGAAGTATATGAGCCTTTAAATATGTGTGTAATCAAATCAAATTATGTCAAATTAAATTGAGAAAAAGGTGCACATTTGTATTTTCAGGTTCCAGAAGCCAATATCTTGGGACAAATTGGCCACGGCTATAAGTATGCTATAGGAAGTCTTAATGAAGGCAGAATAGGAATTGCTGCACAGGTAAGTCAAATTGTAACTCTTCCACAATATGAGCCAATTAAAATGTAAAAATAAAGAAATACAGTAAGACCAATGAGAATGTGGAAGCTTTTGAACACAAGATGGCACCCTTCCTTTACATGAGATGAAAGAATGGCTTGTTATTTCAGATTCCACTTTAGTCAATTATGTAAGTACCCAGAGAACCAAACAATGGCTTAGTGATAACATGTTTTCTATTTTGAGAACACTGAAATATTATCTAATACCTGACTCAATAACTTCTAAAATGTATTATAAGTTAAATATGTAATTTTTATAAAATCAGCATCTCAAAGCATGAAATTCATTCTGGAAGACATCTTTTAAATTAAGAATAAATACATGTTCTCTGTGATCTCTGACTCAAACAATGAAAGACTCACTGCTTAGTGTTTTACAAGTGTGAAAATGGAGCAATTTTTTGTGGCACATGAAATAAAACAGCCATAAATAAATACACAGTGTAATTTGAGAATTACTCAAATTTTTACCAGATTTACCCTATTGTATATATTCATTTTATATTAAATGACATTATTTTCTAGATTAACGAAATGAATAAAGGCTTTAGTTTATTATATATGAATATCTGAAATTCAATTTAGAGCTTTTAGATTTTGATGTACATTGATATACATTAGCAATTGGAACTGTTAAATGTTAGAGTATTACTCCAGATATTTTCCTGCTGCTGTTACTTTCTTAACAAACTGTTCATTTTGGTGCTGGTAATTAAGTCCAGGGCCTTGAACATGCTAAGCATGCCTGCTACCCCTACTACTGAACTACATCCCCAGCCCAACAGAGTGTTCTTTAGATCAGTAATTAACCTAAGTTTCCCACAAAGCTAGGTAATATGTTACTAAAGAGCACTGGCATATCTATCCTTTTTAAAGTTTTTCTGTGATTTAATTTCATCAGATGTGGCATTAAAAACTACAGTACCAGACCTGATTTTTCCCAGGCATTTAAATAATAGAGATATTCTGGCAGTAAAATACACAGCATGGTCTTTAGTCTAATTACTCCAAGTTATCTTATAACCTAATGAAAAGTTAAGGTCAGATAGTAATTATGTCTCTGTGGATGGCTTTTAGAGGAAGAGGCATAGGTAAAAGAGTGAACTGAGGTCATCCATCCTCAAAACACTGCAGTTGGAGAAAATTTGGTTCTTCAGTATTTTTCATGGAAACATTTTACTGAGATGAAATAGCTTATTTTGATTGATAACTAATGACTTCAGTTTTTGTGTCAGTATAGGCTATTGTTTCCATGCTTTAAACTCTAGTTATGACTGGCATCATCTTTTCTTATAGCCAGAAGCATTGAGCCTACTGCCTCACTTTAAATTGGGGTTTGTGGGGGTTTTGTCCCTTTAATTTTCTTATGTTCTTTTTTTGTTTTTGTTTTGTTTTTTGTTTTCAAGTACTGGGGATCAAAGCCAGAGGCACTCTACCATTGAGATACATCCCCAGCCCTTTTAATTTATTTGATACAGGGTCTCGCTACTTTGCCAAGGTGTTAAATTTGTAATCCTCGTGCCTCAGCCTTCCAAGTCACTGGGATTACAGAAATGAACCACCATGCCTAGCTGTTTCTTTAATATTTAACATTATCTTCTGTTCTGCAGAGAGTTCAAAGTAAAGGCTAAATGAAAATATGAATGAACACTAATGAAATATTGATGTTTGTGGGCATTCCCCCTAAAGCTTTAACTATTGATTTTTTTTTCCTTTTTAAAAACCTCCATAGTTTGACATAATTAGTGATTTAATAGCTACCTAATGTTGAAATTTAGAAACCATTTATAAGCTCAAATAATTCAATAGATATAGAATTGATTAGCAGTGACATAATTCAGCTAAAATTGTTAAATACCATCCCTTATTCTTCTAACTTGTAAATTAATGATTTTACCAGATGCTATCAGTTGTTCTCAACCTTATCTGTGCATTAAATCACCCAGAGTTTTAAAATGCTGATGTTTAGAACACACTTAACCACCTCCTCCACTTCCAAGATTTGGATTCAGTTCTTATACTCAGATGTTATACCCAGGCATGGATTTGTTTTAATCAAGTTCCCCAAATGATCCTAATGTGCATCTAAGTTTGGGAAATCCTGTTCTGTTATGTTCTGATGTCCCTTCCATTGGAACTTTCATTAATTATAGGCAAAATGGATAGGAAGGTAGAAGGTTAAGAAGTGATCTTCCATATTTGACTTCTGGAAGGACTGGAGAGGACACTTATTACTGTCTTGAAGGCCAGTTCTGGGCAGAATTTCTGTGGCTCACTTTGTGCCTAGAGGATCAGAGCTTAAAGAAAAAGATTCCTGAACAGTAGCTTAGTTGCATGAATACAGCCATGCCAGAAGATTTACTCTGTCCTAGAATTAAATACACTCATATTTATATGACACCAGTCCAGATTTTCTCCCAGTTACTGGAAGTTCAGTTCTATAAATGCAATAGATGAAGATGTGTAGTTAATACATACCTCAGCACTTCGGTAGATCAAGTTCTCCTCCTACTCCATCTGTTCAATCTGCTAGAAAAGTAATTTATGACTTGGGTAACTACAACCATAAACTTGTGGAAAAGTGAGAAATTCTGGTTTTCTTTTCCTTCTTTTTTTTTAAACAGATGCTGGGACTGGCCCAAGGATGCTTTGACTACACCATTCCATATATTAAAGAAAGGATACAATTTGGCCAAAGAATATTTGATTTTCAGGTACATAATTAGACTGTTCTACTATCCCAGACTCTCCTCTCTTCCAGTTGATAAGGAGCTTTGTTGAAAATCCATGGAGGGAATCACTGGAGGGGATTTTAATGGAGGGAGGAGGGCAGGAATAGGCCTCTGAGCATGCACTTGTACATGCTTTGATCTTTGTCAAGGGTGGAACTGTCATCCTTGTGTTCCAGCTGTGCTGTGACATGGGATGTCTTGGTGAATTTTTCAGAGATTTCTCCTCACTGCTTCGTAAGTACAGGACATGAAGTCTGAAGTCAGACTTCATGGGTTCAAATCCTAGTTCTGCTACTTGCACATTGTGTATCATTTTATCTGAAATGCTTGGGAGCAGAAGTGTTGCAGATATCAGGTGTTTTCAGATTTTGAAATATTTACATAGACATAATAAGACATCTTGGGGATGGTCCCCCTGTCTAAACACAAAATTCATTTGTACCTCAAATACATCTTATATACATAGCCTGAAGGTAATTTTATATGACGTACTTAATGATGTTGTACACAAAACAAAGCTTCATGTTGTAGATTTTTTCATTTGTGGCATCATGTTGCCATTCAAAAATTTTCAGATTTTGGGACATTTATGGATTTCACATTTTCAAATCCGGGTGTTCAATCTGTCATAGCTTTAGGCTTTGATCACTCTAAGCCTCAAATGCCTCATTTATAATATAAAGATAATATGATATGAGACATCCTATTTTAAATTAGATATGTGTGAAGTGTTTAACACACTTCATGGTGTAATAGTTCTCAGTAGATGGTAAAACTCGTCTTAAGTGCCCTAGTCAGACCAGACCCATGTGGTAATCTCAGAGGGCACCTTGACACATGCATCTTACTGGAGATACAGTTTGCTAATGCAATTGAGATACTCTGAACCAGACATTTTGGGAAATACTGGACTGGTCCACTGATAGGGCATTCAGGGATTCCTTGATGGCAAGGGTATTCTTGTCCATATTGAGGTCTTACCAGCGTCAGGACAGCCTGTAGAAGCAGCTTACCAGGCATTGCAGGCACCCTGAAGTGTATTACCTAAAATTCCAGAATAATTACTTTACATAGTTGCAAAAACCTCCCTTTTTATTTTAATAGTCTGAGTTCCAAGTATAATTTCTTACTATACTATCAGCTCTGTCATGCTACATTGTCTTCAGGTTTATAATCACTAGACATCACATGAGCATACTCAAACTGCATGTGTGGAGATATAAAGCCATGGACATGCAGTTAATCCAAGACCCAGAGACTGAGCATGGCACACCTGACCAGAGCCTGCACAGCCCATGCTGTCATCCCCATGCTATACTCAGGAAACTGAGGCACTTGGAGGGCAAGTTTTCAAGGTCATGTTACTAGTATGGTACCAAAATTACAGGTTTTTGTCTTAGTTTTTGGTCTTGCATTTCATTGTACTCAAGTCCTATCTCAGAGCCATCTTCCACATAGCTCACAGCAAGGACAGAAGGCGAGAAGGGTTTGAGGAGGCTGTTGATCTTCTCTGCAGGAAACAGTGTTTACATGTGTATGTATACATATACGTATAATATACACATTTATATATGTGTATATACATATATAAATATATACACATGTACACCTGGGGGTCAGATGTACTAACAAGTGTAATCACAAAGACAGTTTTAGAAATACCTGGGGTGAGTAATTTTTTTGAAACTTAGAAATTTGATCCTAAAAACCACCATTAACTATATAAGCTTTGATTAAAGTTAGTAGGGTTTTATGTATTTCATCTCATTAGAATGATTTGGGTTTGCTTTGCATATGTTCATTTATTTCTTACTCGGGAGGGTAAAGACCAGACCTCCTCCTTACTTCTTTCAGTTTGTCGAACATGCTCTTCATGCCAGGCCCTGTGCTCACAGTGTATTTAGGGAACTAATATGCAGCAACAGTGTGCTCTTTAGGGAAGGAAACACAACCACTATCCCTTTTCTGCCTTGTGTGTACTTACTGGAATAGACAACATGGATGGTGACTGTAGATTTAAATGAACTGAATGTATTTTATGAAAACAGTCTGAATCTCTGAGTTTCACATAAGAAGCTAGAAAAACTTTTCATAACATTGATATTGGCATAGAAATAGACAAATTGACTGATAGAACAAAATAGAAAGGCCAGAAATAGATCCATGCAGGTATGCAAATTGATATATATTAAAGATGAAATTGTAAATAATGAAACTATCCTTACCTCACACCATATGCAGAAAATAGATTTCAGATGTATTAAAGGGATAATGTAAGAAGCAAAACTTTAAAAATCACAGGGGAAAACAGAATAAAACACACAAGAACTAATCATAAAGGATAAAATTGGTGAATTTGACTACCAAATTTCTTTCCCTCACAAGATGCCAGGAAGTATTTTACTCAGCATTAAAAGAGAATAAAATCATGGCATTTGCAGGTATAAATGGATGGCGTTGGAGAATATCACGCTAAGTGAAGTAAGCCAATCCCGAGAAACCAAAGGCTGAATGTTTTCTCTGATAAGTGGATGCTGATCCATAATGGGGCAGGAGGCGAGGCATGGGAGGAATGGAAGAACTTTGGATAGGGCAAGGGGAAGGGAGGGGGCATGGGGGTAGGAAAGATGGTGGAATGAAATGGATATCATTACCCTGGGTACATGTATGACTGCACATATGGTGTGACTCTACTTTGTATACAACCAGAGAAATGAAAAATTGTGCTCCATTTATGTACTATGATTGAAATGCATTCTGCTGTCATGTATAACTAATTAGAACAAATAAATTAATTAATTTTTTAAAAGAAGATGCCAGGAAGTAAAAAGATCATAATGGAGAAGATATTTGTGTTACACATAGATTTGAGGGTGTTTGGTTTGTTACCATGTTTCATAACCTATATGTATGTAACTTAGTCTTTTTTTACACATCAAAATTTGATGTATCTCGTACCACAGACAGAAGAATCTACAGGGTATTTGCAAACAGTGCCATTTTTCTGCAGTTTATTCCTCCCTTTTGTTTAGGAAAGGCCATTCCTGGGATTATATGAGTACTTGCCCAATCAAGAGTCTGTCTTAACATTCAGCACAGATTATTATATTTATTTGTCTGTTCTCCCTGCAGGATGCCATAAATCAGAAGGACAGGGAACTCTTGACTATAATGTTCAGTGTGATGTCTGCATTGCTCAGCATAGTGCCTGGCATATACTAGCCGTTCAATAAATGTCTGGGTGAATAGATAAGTTAAGCATGAGAATCATTTCAGTCTATAATAAACATCTTGTGCCTAGATTTCCAGGAAATTGCTTATATCTCTAAATATTATCATTCATTTCTCACTCATTAAATCACTCACTTTTTTTACCCTCAAAAATATCAGAGTGGTATGAGTTTTTTTAGTGTGGTTTTTTTTAAGTTCTTGTTCTGTTTTCTATAACCTTAAAGAAAGTGGTATCTGTTATTGGGTTTTTTAGTAAAGTCACATTAATAAAGTCACTCAAAGGGGGTGCTTCAAATATTCCTTCATTGCTTTGCATTTAATATCATGTGATGCCTTGAGACCATGTGCAAAATCAGAATTTTCTTTTTTTATATACACATTTATTTTATTTATTTTTATGTGGTGCTGAGGATCGAACCCAGGGCCTCACATGTGCTAGGCATGCACTCTACCGCTGAGCCACAACTCCAGCCCCAGAATTTTCTTAATTCTATCAAATAAAGAATATAAAGTTTTGCTATTAGAGTTTAATTTAAGCTCAATTTTCATCATAAAAGAGAATTGAAAATAATTGTTAATAACACTCAGATTTTTAAATCTGACTTTGAGATATTAAATCTTGACAATTATAAAGAATTACATGAGCTTTGAATTTTTCTGAGAAAAGAGCAATCTTGTAATGTCTTAGTTCATTTTTAGATTGGAGATTTTAAAGTATTTTAGAAATGAGTATGAATTTCCTTTGGGATATATTTTGAATCTGTCAGGGTTATATCTTCTGAAAGGACCAAAGCTGTCTCAAGAGATCCTAACTCTCCATCTTGGGCCTTGAATGTTTCAGGGGCTCCAACACCAAGTGGCTCACGTGGCCACCCAGCTGGAAGCTACACGATTACTGATATACAACGCTGCTAGGCTTGTAGAAACTGGAAGACCATTCATCAAAGAAGCATCTATGGCCAAATATTATGCAGCAGAGGTAAAAAAAAAAAATGGAATTTTTTATTTTTACCTTTCCACTTAAGAATGTTGACTGAACTCAGGTTTTTTTTTCAAGTAGGTAACATGGACTTTTCACTTCTGACAGTTGAAAAGCAAAAAAGCAAAGCTACCCTAGGAGAACATTTTAATTCTGTGGGGTCTTGTGTTTTCATGAGTAGTCAGTTCAGGTAGCCCACCCTAACAAGTCCACAGAGGAGCCTCCTGTGAGCAGTGGTGTCAGGCCCATGGTTTCAGGTTGGGGCATGGAAGATGAGGTGTTAGCAAATGAGATTAAAAGCGCAAAGAAAAAAATTGTCTGTGTTTAATGTTTTCTGCTCATACTTAACATTTAAGGAGTTATAGTTTGGCTGGAGAAATTAGCCACATCATTGAACAGCTATTTCCCAGTCTTGACAATATGTCTGATTTATTTTAAATACTCATTTAAGCTCTCCAGTCCCTAAATTTATCCTCCTACCTTAACCTCCCTTGTGTTCCAACTAATGCGTCCAGCCTGTGCTTAACCTGCCCATCTACCCAGTGCACCAGTCAGAAACCTCAGTGTCATCTTAACATTCTCCTTCTTCCCCATGTTAAATCTGTCATCCGTTCTTGTAGATCTACCTGCAAAAGATTTCTTGAATTTATGTACTTTTCTCTCCCTGAAACGTCTCCATCCAAGCAAGACATGTCATTTCTTCACCAAACTACTGCAGTCACCTAACTGCTATCATGGTTCCTGTTGCTGACTCCAAAGTATCCATGAGGTCATGTCACTCTCCACTTTAAACCTTTACTTCATTGCCTTCTCATACAAATATTTTTGTGTTAGTTTTCTATCACCACTACTGCAAATAACCAAAAATGAAGTGGCCTAAAACAGTGTAACTTTATTGTATCCCACTTCTGGTGGTCAGAAGTCTGAGATGGGTCTAACTGGGATCAAATCAAGATGTTGGCAAGCCTGCCTTCCTGGAGACTCCCAAGGAGAATGTGATTCCAGCTTAGGTAGGCTGCTTGCATTCCTCAACTTCTTCCTCCTGTACTGTCTGTACAGCCAGTGCTGTAGCAGAGTTGAAGCTCTCCCACACTTCCTGTTGCCTTCAGTGATTGACTACTTTGCCTTTCTCTGCCCCTTATTAAAAAACCTTGTGATGACATTAGATCCACCCAGATGATCCAGAATAAAATCTCCATCCCAGGGTCTTTAATATAATCACAGTGGCAAAGACATTGCCATGTAAGGTATCTTATTCTGTTCCTGAGGATTAGGCTGTGGGCATCCTGGAGGGACCAGTACCAATAGTCAAGCTGCTCACCCTCCTCTAAGGCTGGCCTACCCCTCCATTCTCTTTTTATCACAGCTTTCCCTGAACCCAGCCCATCAGCTCTCTCTCTCAGGTACCTGAGGATGATGAGCCCCTTCTCCCAGTGGCACCTTTGCACGTGTTGTTTCTCAGATTAAAACATGCCCTGTAACTCCTATTTAGGTCTCAGGCTGTCTCCTCCAGTATCCCACCATGTAAATCACATCACTTTCCCAGCAAGCTCCTCTTTTGCCCTATGCAGTTTATCAGTTTCTGTGCTTTTGGTTTAATGTCTTTCTCTACGTGACCACCAGGACCAAAGGGGCAGTGACTGCTCACTGCCAACCATTGTATACCCACAGGCTGGCAGAGTATGCAGTATAAAGGACACCCTTGACAAATGTCTGCTAATAAATCATACCTAGTGGCAAGCATATGCGTGTGAGCAATTCTTTGGTTTTCTGGGTTGGGGGCGTAGGTCAGGTGGAGTGATTGCCTAGCATTCCAGTACTGCAGAAGACAAACAGAACACCAATATTCTGATTTTCTTAAGGAAAAAGGAATTTTGCAAATTAATAGGATACTTATATTAGAGAGAATGGTACAAAAAAATGCTAGTTTATAAAACAACTTCAGTCCTTCCAGTTGCCAGTAATAATAAATCCATGTTACTAAAATATCATTAACGAGTGTTTATAATCATAAATTATGTGGTGTCATTATGTAACTTGCTGCTTGTTTTTTGGTAGATTGCAGGGCTAACAACTAGTAAATGTATTGAATGGATGGGAGGAGTAGGCTACACAAAAGATTACCCTGTGGAAAAATACTTCCGAGACGCAAAGATTGGTAAGTAGATTTTTTTTTACATTTTATTTTGTTGTTATTTTGGCATTTGAGCTATTATATTTGTTGATTTTATTTTACTGGTACCTTGGCATAAGTAGTTTTAATCTCTTCAGTTTATTGGCGCTCTTCTTGTATCTGGATTTTTTTTTTTTTTTTTTGCCCACCTCTTCTATCTGAAAATTGAATTTGGATTTTAAAAACATCAATTTGTCTTTTTTAAGTGCCTCAACAGGCCTTTGAGTAAAACTGCATCAAGATCTACTATCTTAATTTTTCTTTTACTAAAAGTCTTAATATTTGTGACTAGTGTGATTTAATGCTGTTTTTTGAAGTAGGGTTCTAATTTCAGAAGCTAAGTGCCCTATCAGGCTGGAGTGGTCCAGTGCTCTACCACCTGAAAGGAAAATAAACACACCAGCTCAGACGCCACATGTTCCTCAGAGACAGTCAGAGCTTATGCATTGATGGTTTAGGAACCAGAATCTTCAATTGCTCCATGCTGATTCTGGACATTTTATAAGCCAAGGAAAATTGTCATCTTTTCTTGGTCAAAATGACTTTGTCCAGTACTTCCATATTCTGGGGACATTAAATAATGTGACTAGCAATGGATTTGAGCAACTACAGAGGTAGTGTTTATAGTTTTGTCTTCGACTCTTAGCTGTGGGTCCCTTCCTAATTGTTCCTTTTGCTTCCTCTCATTTAAGGTACAATCTATGAAGGAACTTCCAATATCCAGCTGAACACCATTGCAAAGTACATCGACCAGGAATACTGATGGCCCTGGGTCTGGGCCCCTCCTGAATGCCATTGGTCTAACATTCTAAACTCCTGTGCATTGTTGGGGGTATTAGGCTCCATGGCATTGTGGTGTTTTATTGAGGTCCCCAGTCCAGGTCTGTGGCCTTGGCCTTTTCCCTTTATGGGCACAGGAGATCATTTTTTAATTTGGGAAGAAATGCATCCATATTTTCTCCAAAATTGACTTAAAACTTATGTTAATATTTATATAAATTATCACTGTAATTTCAGAGTATACAAAAGCTTTGCTCTGTCAACATTTGGAAAAATGAAGGCATCAAAGTATTAAAAAAGTAGTTATTTTATATTTCTTCTAAATCTTTATATTACTACATCAGAGAAACATTTGTTACAGTCAACGATTTTTATTCGATACTTTATAGATTTTATTGTAAGTAGCCAAATGAGGCCAAAAATGATAGAAATTTATTTGGAAAAAATCTAAAACTTCTAAAAAAAAAATCAGTGAATGGGTGGAAATTAAGGGTGTAACTTTATAGGTCTTATAATAAAGCAATATAATTTGCCACTTTAATTAACCTATATAAAAACTGCATTTCATAATGGTTTCAGACGATCGTTTTAAAAATCTGTCTTTGCATTAATTTTCAACTATGAAGTTCAAATGAAGTTGTTTTAACTGAAAATGTCTAAAATTGTAATATTCATTCTGTTTTGCACTATTTTCAATAATATAATTTCTCTGTGTATGTGTTTTGTTTTTGTTTTGTTTTGTGTGTGTATGTGGTACTGGGGATTGAACCCAGGGCCTTGTCGATTCGAGGCAAGCACTCTACCAACTGAGCTATATCCCCAGTCCTCTCTCTCTGTTTTGATTGAATGCTCTTTTCTCAAACTTTGTTATTGGGCTTCATCCTAAATAGTAACTAATTCAAAAATTGGGTTTTGGTTCAGTGATTCTCAAGAAAGAGAGATGTTGCCTCCATTAAGAAGCATATCAGAATCTTATAAGGAATGAGGGATAGAAGGAAGCTGTAGAGTTTGAAAAATCATAATCAACTTAAAGCAATTTCATATATGCGAAGACAAAAGTAAATATTTTTCTACAATACAAATGACAGAAAGGTGGATCCCAACAAAATACATAGCAGGCAATGCCATTCCTTCCATATAGGGAGTCTCAGCAGGAAAAAACCCTCCAGGGTGGATCCTAAATTCTCACAGGAGGACAACAGATGAGAGTTTTGTATTCCCTAAAAAAGAGACATGGGTCAAACATGAGAATTGTTCCAAGCCTCATGCAATTTCACTGAAAGTAATCATTATTATTATTATATGGGGCATTTTTGTACTTTAATGAAAGGATAAATACTAAGAAAACCTGACATTTTCAAAGTAATTTTGCTTTACACATTCATGTTTATTGAGTTGTGTTAATTTCTGCAATGCAAATCATAGTTAAGTATTCAAAGTTGTGTAAACACAATTCAGGTAGGAATTACATTAAAATATTAGGAAGAAATAAGGACAAATTTAGACCTTGGTCCAAAGAGAGAGTCTGCTTTACATTCAGATAGGAAGATGATGGAAACCCCATCCAGTCTTTCAAAACAAAAAGACAGTCATTTGGTAAGAGTAGGGGGTCAGTGAACTACCCTGGAAGTGGGTGAAATGCCCTGGGTGGCTTGGATATTTTTCATCTCTGATGATATGGAAGAGAGGTGGATGTTACAGACGATGGAGGAAGAGCCGATATTAGTAAACAGAATCCCACCCTCTTCCTGTACAGTCGGAAACTTGTGAAAGTACAATTAACCTCATGTTTAAATTTGCAGTTATCAGAGGCTGCCGTATATATCTGGACCATGAGTGTATATTTAGGAATGATGAAGTTCTAATTTGTGGTGTATACTTTGTGCATGTCACAGAGAATAGTCAAAATTAATCATGTTCTATATTCTTGTTATTATATGATCTTATCATCTTCTGTTAGTGAATCATTGTGTTGTTTAACCAGAGAAGATACTGTGGGTTTTCCCTGTTGTTCTTTCATTATAGCTTTTCTTCTGATAACCATGACTTTGGGATCTTTAAAATTTTCTATCTTGAGTTTGTGTCTGGTGGAGATCCAGCCTCCTGAAGCCTGTTGTTATTGTTTGTTACTTTGAGGATTGGGCTGTTAATTTGAGGATTGGGCTATTAGTTTGAGGATGGGGATTAGAAAGTAGAGAACTATTTGACCATATTTGGGGGTGGGGGGAGCTGGTCTTAACTCAGCTGCCATATTAGTATTGTTAGAGAATTCATCCATGAAAATGAATCGGTATCAAGAATTTTAGAATCATGGAAGGTTAGACCTAGAAAGACCTTAGAGAACCACCCAGACATTTCCTCATTTTTAAAGTGAAGGATCATAGCCTTTGCTCTCCCAAGATTATGCAGGCACAAAGACAAGAATCGAAATACACTATTAACACTGTCCCTGTTCAACAGATCTTGGATTTCTTCCCTGCTATTGTGTGTTGGTTTATTTTAGATTTAACTGGTGAAGAATGAACATTTCAAGTATTAGGATTCATCGGTGTCTCACTTACATATATTAATCACTTGCTAAAGGCACTGGCATTTAACATGCTCTCCTAGATTGTAGCTGGGATCAAATATGAAGATTATTGTATGTGATCGTTTGACTTCATTGTTATACTGTAGTTTAGTAAATGCACTCACTAGTTGTATTCTCGCTGCTTTATTTATGCTGATCTTTCATAAAGTGAAAGTTTTGTTTTAATGTTTTTTATCAGAATGTATTCACTATTACAAAATCAATATTTTATGATGAATGAAAACATAATGCACTAAATTAACTGGAGATTTTTGCTACTTTAATAAGACAAAATCGTTTACACATTTAGATGAAGAAAATAATGTAATTTTCCTGCAAGATAGATGCAACACTTTTGTTTACCAAGTCAATAGCTCGCCTCTCCTGTAAACCAAGTTTAAATTCACGACACTAAAGAAAAATTTACCAGTGTCCTCTACCCGCCCCCTGGCAAAATAATTAGCTCTTGAGTAGAGAAGTCACCTCTTTTTGAGCATATCCTCATGGTTCATATATTATCTGACTGATATTTAAGCCTGTGGCTTATGATTTACTTTTGGAAACTTTATGTTATTGTACTTTTTACTCAGTGGTACACTACAGTCTAAAGCCATAGAAGATTTCAGCTTATCTGACCCACTGTTTCCTACATTATTTTAGAAATCCAGATTTTCCTTTTGTCATTCAGCAACATGTTTGAGTAATTACTATATCGGAAGTACTATGGGCTCTGACCTGCCATTGTAAATGAATTAGAACAGCTCCTTATTTAAATGTGTGCCCACCTTACTGTCTTTTTAATGTTTTCATTGGTGTATCCTCATAAAAAGATGGAGTAGAAAACTACCAAGGTCAACCCAATTCAGAAGTACCCCCTCAGATCTGTTAGAATGACAAGTGCTAACACCTCTTAAGCTTCCCATGTGCCTGTGCCAACTGTCATACTTCATTTTTGGTACATATTAACTCATACAGCCTATGAGTTGGATGCTCTTATATCCCATTTTATAGGCAAGGAGACTGGGGCATAGAGAATTTCAATAAGATGCTCATTGGTACATGGCTAGAAAAGTATTGAAAAATAAATGAACTACAGAGTGCCAAGATGCCATCTCCTCCAGAATTTCAACGGCAACATGCTATATGCCACAGGTGACTTTTTTTTCTTTTTGGTACCAGAGATTGTACCCAGGGCCACTCTAACATTGAGCTAAAGAGCTAAATCCTCAAACCTTTTTATTTTTTATTATTATTTTGTTTAATTTTGAGATAGGGTCTTGCTAAGTCACTTAGAGCCTCACTAAGTTACTGAGGCTGGCTTTGAACTTGTGGTCCTCCTGCCTCAGTCTTCTGAGCCAATGGCATTATAGGCATGAACTACTGAACCCAGCCACAGACAACTCTTCATATGAAAAAAATTTTTAAGAAAATAATAACTAAAAGCTACCCTGCTGTGTAAAGAATGACAAGAGAATATGATAAAAATCTGAGTGGTGGCTACGGGTTATTTAAATTGCAGGTATTTGTTACAGATAGCTCCCAATATAAAGAAAAAACATAATATTAACAACAGCAAAAAAAAAAAAAAAAAAAAAGGTGTGGTGGTGCACATCTGTAATCCCAGCAGCTTTGGAGGCTGAGGCAGGATGAGTTCTTAGCCAGCAAGGCGCTAAGCAGCTCAGCAAGACCCTGTCTCTAAATGAAATGCAAATAGGGCTGGGGATGTGGCTCATCTTGGTAGCTTGGTAGCGTAATGTGCCCCTGAGTTCAATTCCCCAGTACCCCACTCCCCCAAAAAAAGAAAAAAATGTGGGGCACATGCCTATAATCCCAGCAACTCAGGAGTTTGAGACCAGCCTCAACAACTTAGTGAGACCCTGTCTTAAAAAAAGAGTAGGGGCTTGTGGCTCAGTGGTAAAGCAGCCCTGGTTCAAGCCCCAGTACAAAAGGAAAAAAGAAAAACAGACATGGTTAGGGAAAAAACAAGATATGGTAGGAATAATAGCCACACATAGTGGTATTTATAGGTGCCAATTGGTTCAGCCTACCTATTAAAAAATGTTCAGATGAGCAAAAGAATTTAAATCCTAGCTACATAAAGTTAGAGTCACCTAAAACAAAACAGCACAGTAAGGTTGAAATAAAGGGATGGAAAGACTTTAGAAACCTGCAAAAACAAAAGCAGGAGTAGCAATGTTAATACGTAGCAAAACTGAATTAAAGCAAAAATAATTTTAAAGGATATCTCATAAAAAGAAAGAATCACCAAGAAGGTCCAATAGTCATGAACTTTATGTCCCTAATCCCCAACAACATAACTGGGAACTATATAGAGCAAAACAAATAGAAATACAATGAAAAAAATTGACAAAGCCATAATCATAGGTACTGACTTAGAAACCTACAAGTCAAATAGGAAGAGGTAAGAACAGATGTAGAGGATTTGGATAGCATAATTAAAAAGATTGCTATATGGGGAATGCTTTTGTTTCTTTTCTAATGCAAATGAATGGACATTAGAATTTTAACTCAGGAAATTTCCATGAATTCCAAAAAAGACACAATTTAAGGGCAGCATCATTATACACAATGATAAGCAAATAAATAAAAAGGATATTAAAAGCCAATCATGACTTTAAATAATCTGTATTAATTAAAAATGTGAAGTATAAATTGTCATCCAGGGCATGACAAGCTCTGCTGTCTCATTCAGGGATGTTGGGAGGATGTATAGAAAGATTTGTCAGGGACATCAGTGCAAGTTTGATGCAGGTTGGGTATCCCTTGTCCCAGTGCTTGGGACCAGAAGAGTTTTGGACTTCAGGGTTGCTTTATTTTTTTCAAATTTTATTTATGTATACATAATGAGATATCATGGAGGAGGGCCCAAATATAAACACAGAATTTATCCATTATATATATGTATGTATGTATGTGTGTGTGTGTGTGTGTGTGTGTGTGTGTGTATATATAAAATCTCCAGTGCACGTATCCTTAAGGTAATTTAACAAAATATTTTTAATGTGTTTACATTTTGACTGCAACCTGTCACATGAGGTCACGTGTGAAATTTTCCTCATGTTG